GCAAGGATGATGACGGGGATAGTGTACAAACCGATAATGCCACCACTGATTCTAATGAAGATGGGTCGGATGATGTTGAGGATAAATCTGAACCGGCTAACACTTCAATGAGCACCGCTGAAGATGAGTCGCAAGAGTTTGCTGGACTCGCTGATGTTTGAATTTATTATTCGTATTTCGACGGATATTTTTTGGTTAAACATGTTAAGTCACTTGCTTTCTTTTATTGTTATTGTTATTTTTACGATATAGGTATCAGAATAAGACAAAAAACAAAGATATTCAAATAAAATGTGGACTGAATGACCGACCACAGTTTCAATTTTTATTTTACAGTATGAATGAGAGGTACAAATACAATTTCGCTTTTTCTTCGAATAGCAACTAATTTGCGCATTATACAATCTAAATCGTAATCTTGCTCTTTAGAATAATTGTTTTTCTCTTCTCTGGCAGCAACAATATGAATAAATGATGATTTAAATGGTTTACTGAAAAAGTCATATTTAAGAAGTATGGAACGACCTTGAATTTTCCAGCCAGAATTGTTTGGTATAGCATTTTTCCATGCACAGTATTGTAAGATCTTTGGTAAGAATCCATTTATCTTCGAAGTTAGTGCTCAAAGTAAAATCTGTTAGAGTTATTGTCACCTTCGTTTCTGTTTTTTCGACTGACCGGATGGTTCTAGTACTAGTACTCACTTGACAAGCATTTCTAATATGTTTCGAGGCCTCTACTAAGTTCAGTTAAACGGTTTGCAATTTGATTTAAAGGTAGCGGTCCAGTATGAAGCATTTTTTTGAGTGAATGAAGATAATTTTCAAATGGGTTAGCAGATAGGGTAGACAGTCCAAACCTCTCTACTTCGTCCACTACATGACAGAGATTATGAACGTTACTAGTGATATATTCTATACCATACAAATCCTTATAATCTTTTACAAAATCGTTGAACAGTTCCCTTGCAACCGGAAGGAAGCTACATTACAACAGAACAAATTCTAACGACACAAAACAAAAACACGAAATGTTGATAGGGTAAATGTTGGCTTCGGCACCCATTGACTGTTTTCGGCAATCAAAATTTAAACGTTAATTTCACTATGTTTTCCCATCAACGCACTTCCCTGAATGTGTCCAAACGATTGTTTAGCCTTTCAGCTTCAATCTGATTATATTTGAACGATCGAGCAATCCAGTAATGCTACATTTTTCTTCAAATAAAGCATACGCACTACAAAATGGGGTTGATTTCGAGTTGCCGATAATAGAACAGCTGGTTAACACGCAGTTCTAATGGGAAGGTTGCCGAAGAAAAAGAGGCTGCCGACAATAGACACACTCACCTGAGAAGTTTGGAGCGTTGTAAAAACGCTTTCAAAACGTTTTGAAAAATTCTGTCGATTGGAATGGATAGAGAAGCAAGCAGCAGATGAATGTAAACAAACAGACACACCATATATGTGCGTGACGCTGAGAAAATGCTAGTAGAAATGAAGACGCTGCTTAGATTGACGAGAATACGTAAATTCCCCTAGTACTTTTCTGGTAAATAGTCTTTAAGTAGAACCAAACCAACGTAATTCAGAAAATTGCGATATTCTAAGCCTTTCCATAGGGAAACATGCTCTAATGAACGCATTCGACGGTGAATTTCTTTAGGAAAACGAATTCTTACGAGTATATTAATTATTTCAGCCTTTTCTACAGTACTCCACTTTGCTCGCTTCGTCATAGATCCCGTACACCATCCATTCAGTAACTTCCGCATTACACCCAATTCCAAAAGATGAAGTGCGTCGGCGACAATTATATCCTCAATCATATCAATAGGTAAACGGAGCAAAGGTGTATCGCTCTTTTGATGTTCAGGATACTCTTTGTTTCTAAATTCTCATTAGTTCGAGGTTGTGCATCAATTTGTGACAAAATTTACCTTTGGTTGTATATTTGAGACAGCCATGTATACCATTAAAATTCATCACTCCCTTGATGAATGATCGGGCAGGAGAATCGCACACAAAACAACGCACTTGTACCGTAACCTGGTATCCATTTATCATCAATCCTGTTTCTAGAATTGGCAAAAGCTCGTCTATAAACGGATTTAGAAACTCAGTTGCGTTTTTTGGCTTGCTGGTTCCATAAAATATTCCTATTGCCATAGGAGATATGTGGGGCAATTCGTGAATATTACACAGGATTGGCCAGAAGTTTTTAAGGCTGCTTTTGTGAATTGGCAAACCGTCGATGTTAAAATTCAAAGATATTGATAATCGTCGATCAAGCTGTTCCAAAGCTTTTCGTAGGCAATTCTCAACACCCTGATGCCAATATCGTTCATTCTCTCCCATTTCAATTGTGTTCAAGTTTCTTGGAGTTCTCATGATGGTGCGGGCATCACACGGCAGATTGAAACCTAGGTTGGATTTGAGAATCCCTACAAGAGATTTCAATGCAGCCTGAGTAATGTAGAACTCAACAGACCAGCTGCGGAGTTCAACAAGAAGATATTGACGACCAGCTGAAAATGTATGATTGTAAATTGAAGCAATATTAGATACGTTTAAGCTTACGGATTTCCAACACAGACTGGAATCGTTGATAGGTAATGTCTCGGGAATCATATGTTTCTGAATCTCAGGCAGAAATTCATCAGGATGCACTATGGCTCGTTTTATCTGTTCGCTAGGATCTGGGTTGTTGTTTCTAGAAAGTTTCCACTTCTTTCTATATCGCTGAAGCAGTCGGCTATAGGTTCCGCTCTTTCGAGCCTTAACTATTCTCCTTTTTGTCAAATAATCACGCATTTTTTTTATTAATACTTGCTGATCTTAATGAAAACACTCAAGCTTTAATAATTTTGATATTGTGCATTAATTTTATCCTTACGAGTAAAATTCATATTACATACGATTTAAAATCAACATGAACTGACTTGGTTTATGCATATGATGTACATTATATTGTTATCATAATTTAAATCGTAAATAGTGTTTGAGGTAACACTTTATACGATGTGTACCATATATAATACGATGTAATATGGATAATATGGCTAATGCATGCATATTGATCGTTGTGTGAAATATTAACGACTTTAAACGAACATAATATGGGATCGTGCGTATATATATATGCGAGTCTGGCTTATTTGTCGTAATAAGTTCGCAAAAAAACATAATATGCGATGAATTTTACACATCGACCGTACATAGCGTATACAGATATGCGATAGTGATTTAAACTCATATTTTATACGATGTAATATATACAATCTTATACGACTTCTGGTTGTCTGGGTACCCCCCCCCCCCCCTTTTAATTTAAATGGTCTTTGTTTCTTGTATTTGTGTGGTTTACATGTATTACTTATCGAGTGACACAGATGCGTCTTTTCAACTTTAGTTCTTTTGAATTTCAATTATCATTAGTTAAAGTTCCTAGTAATATCAGGCCTGTTTTCAATAGCGACCTATTGAAAATTAATAAATTGTTCAATGTTCAGATTTGTAGCAAAATTTCTAATCGATTGGTTTGTTTATAATTAAAATCCATCCGCTATTGACAGAGTTATATGTGGTAAACACGTAAACACTTTTCGTAATGCGGTCGATTTTGGTTTTTTCGAAATTGCAACCCCAATATGTTACCGAAAGACGTAATCATACGTAAAAAAACCTATGTCGCTAAGCAAGCACTGTAGCTGATATGTTTACTCCAAAAGATTCGAAGTGACACCATAGCAAAAGCTTCCAGACCAATTTACCAAAGAAGAATGCTAAGGTGAAACGGTTGTCGGGAAAAAAAAACTTTCTATTTTAGAGTCCTTTTTCACGGTCCCTTCTTACAATGAATGCAAGGTGTTTTTGTGTTTATGCTGTCCCATCGGTAGAGTTGACGTTTAAAAATTTTTGTATCAAAACACGCCAAAAATCGAGGATCCTCGCAATTGTCCCATGAGTGTGTGGGAACAAGACTGTACCTCCACTTGTCTCAGGCCGAGGAGCTAACCCCGCTGTCAAACATGAGATCGGAGTGGTAAACAACAGTCATCACTCCTGAGCTCACTCCGATACTGGTAGACACACTACCAGTCTACGGTAGCATAGTGGTAGAGCGCCCGTCTCGCGTACTAGGAGGTGTGGCTTCGATTTCCACCTGTAGGCAGTGGATTTTTTCACCATTTTCGCAACATATCTCATCACATAAATACATATTCTTGCCTTCTAGTATCGTTTCATAACCAAAAATCAGAAATATCCCGTTTTTCAATTACTAATCTATTATTTTTTGTTCAATATACTCTCCTCTTCCCACCCATGAGAGTGCGGAATATGTTTGAAACGATGAGTGATGATCCCCTGGAGAAGTTAATGCTTTTTGGCATGATATAACCGATTAAAAATAATTGTTTTTTCAGTTCGTTAATCGAACACCACTAGATGAATTTCACATCCACCGTCATTGTCAAATATAATGGCCGTTTGTAATTGAATAAGACAATTTTAAACGAACCGGGGCTAATCACAAATGACGTCCTCACGGTAACTGAAAAAATGCGAGTGCCCCTCTTAAGTGACGTTATAGCCTTTCGGTACAACTAAGTACACAGCGAATGAGAACGACCCAAATTTGAGTTCTCACTCATAATCGCCAAAAGTGCGGGAGCTCAGCGATGAGTAAATTTGTCTCATGGTTTTCTGTAGAAAACCTCAAAAATCTGCTGGAAAAAGAAGAAAATTGACGAAAGTTTTACTCAGTCTGTGAGTAGTACCAATAGACTGATTGAATCCAATCTTCATTTTTCTCATATTCTGGAATTTTTTCCTGGAAAAACATGTGCCAAATTTACTCATCGCTGAGTTCTTGAACTTTATGTGATTTATGAGTTAACTAAACTCAAAATTTGGGTCGTTCGCATTCGCCGTGTAGGTGTACGAGAAAGACAAAAAGGAGTATCAATTTAATTGATTGGTATTGAATTTTCTTTGCAGGTTCACATGATGTTAACTCAATGCGTGACATGCGTGACGCTTTGGGAGCGCTAGGTCCTGTTAATGGTGAAAACCCAGAAATGAGTAATCTTACGCTTTCAATGACCGATATAGATAAAGATGACATTGTGTTCCTTACATCAGATGGTATAAGTGATAATTTTGATCCAGTTGTTGGAAAGTTTGCGGAACCGTTGATACATAAAATACAGCCTCTTGTGCCCTCACAACCAAGCCAATCTCGTTTAGCACCCAAAAGACAAAATAAAAGTGCATCTAATATTATGACCAGAAGACAAGAATTAACAGAGCCACTTGCTAGAATAGCATCATCAACAAAAAAATCTGTAAATCTCTTAAATTCAGCATCACAAAAACGCACTGTGTCAACAGATCCATCAGTTGACGGAGCAAATCGAGCATACACGAGATCAAAGACATTCATTGAACCTAGGCCGCGAAAAAATAATCAATCAACAAGAATGTCTACATTGCCGTTAGTGAGTGGTGCACAGAGACATCAGTTAACAATGTTACGGATGGCTGACATACTCATGTATGGAATCAATGGAACTCTAAGACCGTGTACTACTGCCAAACAGCTATGTCAACTATTAATTGACTTTGTAACCTGTATTACGTCTGCTAAGAGAAAGTTGTTAGAACAACGTGAGCTCTATTATAAAATCATTATTGGCAAGGACGGTCTTCAGAAAGAGGTAGAATACACGAAACACCAACAAAAGATGGCCCGTAAGCGAATGATGGAGGGAAGTACATTTTCTTCACTCCCTGGAAAGCTGGATCATGCAACGGTTGTAGCATATACCGTTGGTGTAGAGCACTCTTATACCGAAACAAACTTGTAGTGAAGTGAATCCGTAAAAGGAACATTGACGAATATTCATCCCAATAAACAATTTGAGCTGGTTAAACAATTTTTTAGTCGGAGAAGCATATTTTTGCCTGAATGAGCTCTTATTCAGCATTCAATAATAGTTTGGATGTTTAGATACTCTTGGGCAACTAGGTCATAATTATTCGAAAAAAAAAATGATTAATACTAATAATATATCTTTAACTTTAACTTAGTTTAAGCAGTTTTAAGTTTTGTACAGTAACAAATCCGAAATTCAAAATGGTTCCTTAGTCCGTTAGATCTCTTTTTTTAGATTACATGTATAAATGACGTATTTTATTTTAGTTACAGCACATTATACATTCCATCTTGAACCCATATCAAATTTTAGCTCAGAGAAAGTCAGGGTTTTTATTTTTTTATCGATTTCCGTCATAGTTATTGATCGGTTAATAGTCCTCAAGCGCGTGTTGTGCCTAAAAACTGCACGGTAAGAAAAAAGTACCCAACGGCCAGTTCACTTGTGCCTAATTTTGACTAGTTTGTCTCCTTTTCTCCTTCTAATGTTGTCAAAAACTGAGGAGCAAAACCACCCAACAGGGGCAGTAAAGTGTGGGAGGCCAACGTTGAGTATAATCATATTTACCTACTTTTCGGTACAACTAACTTACTTTTGCGTTGAAAGCTAGTGGAAAATTCCACGGCTTGCATCAAAACTACGAATTATAAAGTTTTCATATGCAAAACGTACTAATACTGAAGTACCTAGTCACGCCCAATTAATTTCAAATGCATCCGTTCGATATTTCACGTGTAAACAACAAACAAAAAGAAAACCATCAATTGTCCGAGTATATAGAGATTAGTGACGCTTAACGCATGCACACTAGCGTATAATATATCCGCTATAAATACATAACAAATCGCTGTCAAGGTCATACGCCAAGTAAAGTTGTTTATTGTTTTCCTCTGGCTAACCTAAAAAATGTATAAAATGAGATCGGTGAAAATGACCTTGACAGCGATTTGTTATGAATTTTTCTCGGATTTTCACTAACCACTCTCACATATCGCTATCGCACCAATAAAGCCGGACGTGAAAAGCTCTATAATTCCACTTTCACAAAATATTTGACAAAAGAGCCAAGGTGGATCAACAGACAAAGCAATCCCAAGGGTGTATTTCCACAGTGTACCACCAGTGCACAATGGGTTTTTTTTTTTGCAAAAAAGGCATTTAATTCAATATCTCAAAATGCCGCTGGAATGGATATTTATGCATCAAAAGTTTACTATTTTTTATTAGAAATCGAATACCAAGGTGGTTGTGCATGGCACGAATCATTTACGGATAGTTTGAGTCAAAATAAGGAATTTTACGCTAATTCTTAGTGTTTAAAATTGTGATATAGTCAATTACTAAGTGAAATGTCAATCGATTTAAATAAAACCAGTTTTATTTCAAATCTAAGATTGTCCCTCAAAATATTATGTATCATATTCAAAATAGGACTTAATATTTTTAAGGTTGAGTGGCAAGGTTGCAAATACTCATTTCTGCTAAAATAATGTTTTTTATAATTAATAAAATAAAGATGGTATGATGGCATGTTTTACTTGTAACTTACAAGAAAAGGTTAAAAAGTTTGCTTTTGAAACATAAAACCTGTAATTTTGCTTTCTATGAGTCACAATCAGCAATTTGCTGATCGCTGAGTGAGTGAGTGAGAGTGTGTGTGCAAAATAGCTGATTGTGACTGAAGTGAAATAAACAGGTTTAATATGTCAAACACATTCTTTGCAACCTCTTCTTGTATCCTACCAATTCAAAATATGATCATGACATCTAATTATTTCATTACAAAAAAAAAAAACATTGTTTTAGCTGAAATGAGTATTTGCAGCCTTGTTGAGCGGTATCATTTTCAGTAAAAATAATTAAAATATGTGAAAATGGTACATTTGGTTGAGTTTTTAGATGTATGCTCAATAAATCATACCTTTTCTAAAGGAAAAAAAAAAAAAAAACCATTTTCACATACCCAAAACAAAATACCCATAGAGCATTTCCAGCCCAAAACGCTAAAAAATATGTCAATTATGTCTAGACCCCCTCCGATTTGAATGAAACATTGGCCACATGTTCGCTGCTATCAATGGTTGCATTTTGGTTGGTTGATTTTTTTCAGTAATTGATTATATTTTTTTAAAATCATAACATGAAAACTATTGAGCTGATCAAAATGACATCTGAAAATAAATTTTAGGTAGTTAAATTATCTTCAAGAAAAAAATACACTTAAATAAAAAACTTAATAAATCAATATTAAAGAAAATACGTTGATTATCTCAAACCACCCCCCCCCCCCCGGCTTCAATCTTTATACTTTTTTAACAAGAAAACTGAAGAAATATTATAAAATTTGGTGAAGAGTTGAGGCTGGTAACTTGCTTAAAAAAACCTTATATTATTTTTATTTTTGTTGATTTTTAAAGTTTATGAAATCGCATATTTTTTAGTAAAATAATAATTTATTTGAGTTTTGCGCCTAGTTTTCAATAACTTTGCGGGTAATAACTTTTTTCCTAAGTCCAGTCGTTTTCAAGTTAATGCGAATTAATAATAATAGTAATAATAATTCTCAATATATATAACCATTTTCAAATGTTAGTCGTGATGTCCAGCAACGAGATGTTTTTTCCATGATTTTAAATTGAAAAACAAATAATTCATTCTCATATATGGTAATTGTCATACCTACCCGTTTCTATTTAAATGCAGCGGAAGAGAAACACGTTGATGTTGTCACATTAAAGATTTGTATTCTGCCCATAAAAGCATTACTGTCCCATATGAATAGGAAATCAAGCAAAGATGGGACAATTATGCGAGTATTGGCAGTATTGGTGAGATAAGAAAAAAATATTTATTTTTTCTACAACTCAAATTATTTGAATACATTGAATATTTTGGGTGTATCGTAGATAGAACTAGATAATATTTATACTGAAATTTGGTTGTTTGAAACTGGAATATAGCAATGATATTTTCGAGTTCCAGGAATTGGTTCCACTTTCTTAAAAATCGGATCAAATTCCTTGTCAGCCTTTTTTGTATTCTTCCGTAGAAACATAACAAAATGGAATTTTTGTTTGAAGATCCTCTTTACGGCTATTTGCCCAGTTGCTTAGTGTTCGTTATAGGGTGCTTGTATTTCCTAGCTAACCTTGCTCTGGTTGCCATTCTCTTAAGGGTACCTCCAATTGCATCACAAGGACCTTTGCCGTGTGAAGCTACAAAAAAATACCATTCAATTTCTACACTTGCTCTCGTTGCCATTCTCTTAAGGGTACCTCCAATTGCATACACAAGGACCTTTGCCGTGTGAAGTTGCAAAAAAATGCCATTAAATTTCTTTAAATCCACAAAGGCTAGCAAGTTTTTTAATGTTTTTGTATTGCGATGCTGCTCCATCTGACAAGAAAATACACTTTTGAACTGTTATTTGCGACTTTAAAAGTTCTAATTAACAACCGAACTGCTACTGTCGATGTCGATGATAGACGATGCTTGGGACTAGCAATCATCCTCAATGTGTAAAAACTGGTGATCTCGAACTAGGCAATACCAGCGCCGGCCGCACCCAAACGCAGGTCAAGAAAGGAATGGGTAGGAATGTGTTGACGTGACACTCGCTTTTAAGGAAGCCGAGAAATCCTCTGCACTTCCACGAGGAGTCACTGGGATGTTGGGTAAGAGAGTAGGGTTGCAGCAGGGTTCGTTTTGGTAAACGATAAGTTGAATTGATGTCCGAACGATAGGGAGGGGTTACTGTATAAATAAATAAAAAGGAATGATCTCAGCCAAATAACCAACAGCATCCGGCCTCCTAGTAAACTTTTTCGACCCATCGCAGGTATCTCCTTCAAACACAGACGTCAAAATTTCGGATCCATCTTGTCGATATATAATTAATAAAATATAACAAAATACAAACAACCTCGATTTCAGCCACTCAATTTCTATTAAATCAAGCTACATATAAATATTTTAATTGCATAGTATGATAAAACTCAACTTTGCTTATTTAATGAATCCACAATTTAAATAAAGAATCAATTTGCTAAATAATCGAGGTTATTTGAGCATACAAGAGCTATAAAAACAAGTATTCATGAATAATTCTTGAAATAGCAAGACAAAGGTAAAACAATTTAAAAACATTGACCTAAGTATGATGATATCCAATTGATTCTCTGGGTAATCCAAATTCTTAAAACCACAGATCATACTATACTATAATAAAATAAATGGTAAATAACAATGATATGCTATTTGATGCACCTTGTGGTCCTTCAGGATCTGCAGAACAACTATTTTATATAAATGAAAATTACAGTTACAATGATATAATGAGATTTTAAATATGTGAAATAAAAGTAATTTACTAGTCGTGCAATATATAAAAGAATGTAAAATAAACAAGTATTACAAAATACAAATAAGCTCGATTTTAGTTAACCTCCATTCATTCAACTGATTTCAACTTCTGATATTTTATTGGAACTGAAACAAACACTTTATTATGCACCATTGAATTTCTTAACGCAATATGAAATACTTTTAAAAATATTGGTTGACTTTAATAATGAATCAATTGTCAGAAAAATCAATGTTATTTGACAGTTAACAGTTTTCATGCAATTGTAATCATGCATTACAATGTTTTTGTATTTTCCTGAACGAAGGCTGATAAAAGTGAATCATTATAATATTAGTCTGAAAATGTTCCATCATCGAAGAGCTGAAAATAAACTTAAAGATTTAAATCAATAAATCCAGCCTAAAGGTAGGATTGACGAACACAGTAAGCTCGCTCATCACTCATATTCCCAATCTGATTACATAAGTTTTAACAAGTATACAAATAAATATATCAACAAGAAATGTTTTTTTAAAATTATAGTCACTTGGGCCATTCGTGACTTGTCCGGGGGTGAGATTTGAACTCGTGACTTTGGCGTGAGAGGTATGAATGCTAACCACTACGCTGGGGTCACCCCAACAACAAGTAATGTAATTTTCTCTCCTAAAAAAGGAAAAATAAAATGGTTAATTGCACTGTCATATAAACGTTAAACATACATTAGAGAAAATCAAATACTGTTACGTTGCTTCTTCCAGTTGTGTTTTATTCTTGTTTTAAATATTTATTATTGAATATATGTACAGGTAAACCTCGATATAACGTAACTGTCACTTTTGACTTCCATCGTCAATATCTCGCTAATAACAATTGAACCATACAAATTAATATTACCGATAACTGGGGGATTATCTCATCTGTCCAATGTTGTTATTACTTTACTTGTTTGAATGATCGTTTATGAAAAATCAGCGATGGAAATCAAAACTGACAGTTACGTTATATCGAGGTATACCTGTATAATAATAATATAATATGATTTAATGTGATTTATTCAAACCCAAAACTCCACGGTGGTGCCCTTTACACAAGAATAAACCTCTACGTTTATACCTGGAGACAAAAAAAGCTACGAAAAAGCGCTTATGCCTTCATTAAATTCTTCTTTTACGCGACGTTCGCTGATTCAATTTGGTCCTTACGTAAGACGGTAACAGAACCCATAAAACTTTCACATTTTTTTCAGCAACCGTGCCCCTTACTTCACTAAGTAAACTACGACTGACGCGACGTTTTCACCAGCGTACAAATATTGCACATCTTTTAAGCTATCTCAACCGAACTCTATTGCGTTTTAAAATGAATTTTTTCTTCTTGTTGAGCGGTATCATTTTCAGTAAAAATAATTAAAATATGTGAAAATGGTACATTTGGTTGAGTTTTTAGATGTATACTCAATAAATCATACCTTTTCTAAAGGAAAAAAAAAAAAACCATTTTCACATACCCAAAACAAAATACCCATAGAGCATTTCCAGCCCAAAACGCTAAAAAATATGTCAATTATGTCTAGACCCCCTCCGATTTGAATGAAACATTGGCCACATGTTCGCTGCTATCAATGGTTGCATTTTGGTTGGTTGATTTTTTTCAGTAATTGATTATATTTTTTTTAAAGCATTACATGAAAATTATTGAGCAGATCAATATGACATCTGAAAAGAAGTTGTAGGTAGTTAAATTATCTTTAAGGAAAAAATACATTTAAATAAAAAACTTAATAAATCAATATTAAAAAAAAAATACATTGATTATCTCAAACC